CGGTCGTGCCTTCGAAAAACCTTGCACCTCCCTTCTTTTCCTCTTCACCTACCACATTCAAATCCCCGCCAACATGCCCTGGGTATCTTCGTGGGTATCTTTACCCATCATTGCCAAAAATAAAATTTTTGCAAATCGTATATGATGACGCCGGCCGAGTCGAGCTCAGCCGAGGTTTAGTAAGGGTCATTTAAATCCCGCAGGCGTAGGGGGTTCTTGATGGCTTCGAAGGAGTGAGGGGAGGGAAGTGTGGACGTTGGCAGTTTTGGAAGGGTGAAAGGCTTTTGTGAATGGGTTAGCCGTTTTGAACGTTATTGTGTCTGGTAACACGGGGAGTGCTCCCCGTACAGAATGTCTGGAAATACGATTGTTCGGGAGCAGTTGTTTTGATGTTCCGCTTGCTGCTCTTTTGGTTGCAAAAAAGTTTAGACGATTTAAATTGCGATGTTATTCCCTTTTTGTGCCTATTTGCATATATGCAAATGCGAAAACGCATATTGTGACTTTTAGTGTTTGTGTGTGTATGTGTGTGTGTGTATGTATGTGTGTGTGGGTGGGTATGTGTGCAGATGTGTATGTGCACGTTTGTGTGTATGTAGGTATGTATGTATGTATGTGTGAACGTAAAAAGTTTAGACGATTTAAATTGCGATGTTATTCTCTTTATGCCTATTTGCATATGCGCAAATGCGAAGACGCATATTGTCACGACTCATAGCGTTTGTGTGTGTGTGTGTATGTGTGTGTGTGTGTGTGTGCATATATGTATGTACGTATGTGTGTATGTAGGTATGTGTGTAATGTACGTATGTGTAAACGTATATTTACATACGTATGTATATGTATGTGTGTATGTATGTGTGTATGTACGTATGTGTATGTAGGTATGTATGTGTTTGTATGTGTTTTTGTGTATGTATGTATGGGTGTATGTTTGTCTGCCCGGATGTTTCAAATCGGCAACCAAGCGGGTTTCGTCCCTGAAACATTGCCAGTGCGCTCTCTGGGCAAATGCCATCCCAGGGCCGCGATACCATCTTTTACGCACGTCTGCGCCTCGCGTACGAGTACGTGAAAAAAATTTTGACGGGGAGATTTCTAACTTGGGAACCAGGAAAGCTGGAATGCTGAAACTTTAAGGGAATTTTCCTCGCTCGTATACAATTCAAAGATTCCAAATTCAGCCCTCGGGTGTGCGTGATGAATTTTAAATTCACCTGTGAAAGTTTTGGCGGGAAAATTGCTAGCTCGGGAACCAGGAAGGTTGTGGCGTCGGAATTTTAACACAATTTTCTTTGTCCAAGTACAACTCAAGAATTTCCAATTCAGCTCCTAGGTATGCGTGGTTCTTATATACGGGCATTTGAAGGTTTTGGCGGGAAAAAAGTCGCTTACTGAACAGCTCCAGGTTATTTTCAAAGAACGACCGTTAAATGGAAATTGTTCATTTTCCTTTATGCAAAATTTACGATGGATCCTAAATTGCATTTCTCTCAGTGGTGTCTAGATTTTCCATTTCTCTCAGTGGTGTCTAGACATGTCTTTTTTTATTCCCAACTGAAACAACACAGAGGGGTTTTGCGTTGACATTGAGATACTCTAAATGCTTATTTTCGCAGACGACATTGTCCTGATCGCAGAAAATCTGTAAATAGCCCTATTTGAACCCCTTAAATAAGCTTTGCAATCAGTGCGAAAGAAATTGGGCTTAAAATTCATGGAAAAAGTGGGCTTCAAATTTTCTTCCATTCATTTGGAGATGTGCGTTGCGATGCCTGGATTTGTGAAAGAGTGTGTTTGCGCTTGAAATTGGTTTTTAAGAGACCCCTTTTTTCGTTTCTGTTTTGTGCCGGACTGAGTCATCTTCCCAATTTTCCTGTACTTTTGCTGTGTGAGAGCGCTGTCAATAATGCCTGCCACTGTGCCGGCGAGGAGAGGGGGGCCCGGCAAGGGATGATGGGGCAGCGAATCCCCCTTCTTTCCTGTTTTTCCAGAATTTTAAAACAACTGAGCAGTGGAAGGGGCCTCGGAGCAGCAGTAGTGCACAGCGTTCATCATCGATCCTCCTCCGTTCCTCCGTCCTCTTTCATCAGCGTTCGCCGCCTCCTTGCCCCCTTCCTCATCCATGGCGCTGCTTCGGCTGCCCCTATCTCTGTTTTGCTGCTACTGCTTCTGCTGCCGTTGTTGTTGTTGTTCCGGCATCCAGCCCCTTTCGCCCCAATGAGACAACTGTTGCTGCTGCTCCCTTTTCCCAATTTCCTGGGCAACTGTTCCCGACTTTCCGGGCAACTATTCCCGATATCGTTTTTCCGCCAAAAAATCCGCATATTTTTGCCGCCTGGCGCCTTTTTATGCGTTTTTGCTGTGCAGCGCTACAGCAGCGCTTTCCGGGCAACTATTCCCGATTTTCCGGGTAGCTGTGTCCGAAATCGTTTTCCGCCAAAAAATTTTCATATTTTTTCGGATGGCTTTTTTATATACTGCATGCATTTCAGGAATTCTGGAAAAGCGTGGATAACGCGTTGAGTTGATAGCCAGGAATTGCGCGGGCCACAGAAAACTAACAGTTCCCCTGGAAACGGCCCTGTCCTGTGCAAAAAGCAAAAAAAGGAGCAAACGTGGATCGTGATGTGTGAATTAGATGCCTGAGAAAAAAAATGACGGATTCTGAAAGTGATAAAGCACCAACGACATCTTCCTCCAGCGAAGTTCATTTTTCCCTCCTTACACAGTCCTATAAATACCTGTAATAACTCATTTTTACACTAATTACCGCAGTCGTCGTACTTACGAGCTGCAGTTGTGGTAATGGTAAGAAATGTATACGAATTAATGGGCCGAAACATTTCCTACAATTATTATAGTAATTTTTTAATATTCTATAATATTTTATAGTTTTTACTAATTTCTTAACATTATTTGCTCTTGTCTTCTTCCAACTTTAAAATATTTTCCTGTTTAAGTATAAAGGCTGATTTTTAGTGTAAAAACTGATTTTAAAATAAACATTCGGGGATGAGAATTTTGTTTTGAAAGGTTGACTTATAGTGTAAAAATTGATTTTCATAAGCATTCAGGGGCAAAAATTTCTTTTTGAATTTCGATTTTGTGTTTTGGAAAATACTCAAAAAAAAAAACATTTACGGACGATGAAAATGGCCGATAAAGTAAAGCGGAACTGGCCTCATTTAGCCAGCTTTTCGTAGATTGGTAAAGTATTTCAGAAAGCTGTATTGCTACTTCAACTAATGGATTCTTTTCCATAAACCATATAAGCAGATTGTAACGATCAGGCTTACCCTGAAAGCCTAAATGATGAAGGATTACAATGAGAGCGAAGGAGATAAGAGTGAGATAAGACGTTTCGGTCCATTGAGTCATATACGCCTTAACTCAAAACTGCGACAAGACTTCGTGGAAGTATGATGATCGCAGTGCTTAATAAAAAATGCAAGAAAACGAGGAAGACCACAGAAAGAAGCAAAAGGAATGACGATCTGGTAGTAGGTTTAGGTGGAGTAAGAGAGGGACGAAGAGGGGAGGGAAAAGGAAGAGGAAGAAAAGGATTTCAGAAAAAGATATTAAAAAAGAGTTTTAAAAAAACCCCGATCTTTTATAAGAATTAAAAAAAGAAATAAATTTAGATATTTAACTCAGAGATAAGGGATTAACCTAAATATCACGTATAACGAAGATCGATCAGGAAGCAGTCTGTGTTTCATCCCTTAGCTGTAAACACGGAACAAAGCAGTGCACAGTCTATAGTACCACTTCAACCGGCGGCTTTGTTTACAAACCAAAGAAATTTAGATATTAAACTCAGAGATAAGGGATTAACCTAAATATCACGTATAACGAAGGGCCATTAGGAAGCAGTCTGTGTTTCATCCCTTAGTTGTAAACACGGAGCCAGAGCAGTGCGCGCAGGTAGAAATCATCAGTACAGCCTCCTACTGACCATGGTGCATCACGGGTGAGCAACTGGCGGCCCACCCCGCCGAAAGAGTCACTTGGGGAAATTTCAGCCGTTTTGAAGTGTCCTTGATGTTTATAGAGTATCATCAATTGGTCCCAAATATTACGGTTCGAAGTATGAAGGGTCTATTTTTTTTTGGAAAAAAATTTTTTTCTCGTCCATCTTTCATTAGTGTAGACTCAGTAGTGTGGAAAGATGACTGGAAGATATGGAAAAGAGGAAAAAGGGAAATTTTTTTCATTTCCAAAAACGAAAAAATTCAAAATTCTCTCATCGTCTTTTGGTTACTCATGAAAGGAAGGATAGGAAAATTCCTTCGTTTTCGAAAACGAAAAAAGTCAAAATTCCCTTATTTTCCCCGGTTATTTTGCAGCTTGTAGAAGGACAGGAAAATTCCTTCGTTTCCAAAAACAAAAAAATTCAAAATTCCGTCATTTTTCCCGTCCTTTGGTTACTTGTTTTATTACATTCATAAAGCACAGATTCTATTTTACAGTGCGGTAAATCGAAGAGCAAAAAATTGTTGCCTCTCCCACACATATAAATATTTGTTCACACGGATTTTTTAAGGTTCTGTTGGTGGATGTTGCCTCGCTGGTGGCCTATATAAAAAATGTATTTATTGGTGCTAATGCAGCAGCGCTCGATGAAGCACTGGCGCAAAGTATCCATACGGATTGCATACAGAAATTCATCAGCGATCCACAGGTACCAATGCTGGTCATCGATCGAATCATCAGTAGAGGTACGCCATTGAAAATTTTTTTTTTTTTAAGCAAATACTAAACTTATTAAAATTCGACTGTTTTTTTTCTTTGTTGGCCTACACTGCAACCAAATTACACATGTAGCCGTAAGGTACTCTGTCTTGTCCAACCTTTTAACCCTGTCAATTTGATTATTTTCATTAGCAGCATTTAGTAGCATTCCAAATTTTCCAGTACTTATTGTTGCTTCCTCGCACCGCAGACTACCGATAAAGTGCCAGGATCTCCATTTTGTTAGGATCTTCCAGTATTGCTTTTTTCAAGTATCGCGACTTTAAAAGTTAACAGGTTGGACTAATGTGCGCGCCCTGTGTGGTTATGTGTGTGTATGTGTGTGTGCGTGTATGTGTGCGTGTGTGTGTATGTGCGTACATATGTGTGTGTGGTGGAGTGCATATGTTGACGAACACCGGAACATAGCTATATGTTTATAATTACACACAAAAGACTATAGTTTACAATTAAATAACAACAAAGAGCCAGTATTAATAGAAGAAAAAACCCCGCAATAGTTTTTTCAGTTGGCCTTCTTCATTTGGCGGTGGGTCAGTTAATTTTTGAGACTTCAAGCTAGTAAATACTGTATAATCCAACTATTGCTGTATCTGTATCGTTCAACTTATTTAAGTCTGCTAGTTAAACCCGTACAGTTCCACTTTGTTAAATCTGTATAGTTCAACTTATTTAAGCAATTTATAGTTCAGCTTTGGCGAGTGTAATTTAGTTTTAGCACTTTGCAGTGTGTTTGTTTGTGGGATGTGAAGACTGTGCTTTAGATGCCAATCTAGATGATACATCCGAGGAGACCACCGCAATCGTTCGTATCGCCAACGAAACAGCCAAACGTACCGAGCGCACAACATCGCTGCTGCTACTCAAATGCGGCTCATTCATCGAAGCGGATAAGACAGTTGAGGATCAATTATATGTACTGAGGTTTGTCTTGTCACTGCTTCAGGAAACCGTCAATTTGTTTCGTTTTAACACCCCTTTATCATCATAGCTGGGGCAGCCCTTTGCTGGAATCATGGGCGGATCCAGAGCGTTTTCCTGGGGGAAGAGGGGGGAGGGGAGGATTTGGACGATTTCTCCTCCCCTTCTTCGGTCTTCGGAATATTGCAAACTCTACTACCTCCTCTGGATCCCCCAAGGGGA